ATCTCTTAACAGGAAAATTCGCGATGAAGCGCACCGCTTGTGTCGAGAAATCATAAAAACTGTATTGAATTGTTCAACGCGCTTTAAATCTTTACATTCTGTGTGAAAATCTGAATACAAATAAAATATCACTCACTATTTTGTATACCTTGACTGTACGACGGTTATCACTTATCATAAGGAATTACTCAGTCATTAGAACTAAGGTAACCTTACATCATACTGGGATTCAACAGCTGCATAAACCTTTATTCGACTGCAGACAACGTATGTTGATTTAATGTCTCTCCCCCCCTCCCCCCTTGAATGACAGACCCGAGAACAACGACAACAACACATTGTACAAGGCGGGAAAACCATCGTTTACGGCCACATTGATCTTACAAGGTCACATTCTGGTTGAACTTAGCGCGGAACAGTTGCAATTTGAAGCCGGAGCGTTCATGTTTTTCGGGGAGACAATATTTGCGAGTAAGTGCATTTCAATCAGCACCAATCAGGGGAATAAAATTCCAATGAATGAATTCCTATCCAATCTGTTTACCGCAGAGGGTGAGGGAAGACGGTAAATACGTCTGGACCAGAAATGACCTGCTTAAACTTCGAGCTTTTCATCAAAAAATTATCACCAATACTGAAAGACTCCCACAAACTGCTGCAAACGCACCCATATAGAACCATGACATGCGACTATCTATTTGTGGAAATGAATTTTTTTTCGAAAATAGCCCATGCTCACCTTGCATTAGAAAGATAGTAAAAAGTGACAATTTGCATAATATTCTGGATGGAACAGAAATATGAATGATCTGAAAATGACAATACAATACCCACTTATACACGATTACTTCCGTCATAGAATAAATTGGCTCTACGGACATCATCATGACCAATCGAGATTTTCCGAAATACGATGACCCTGGCACCATTCGGTTTTTTTATTCAAGTTGGCACGCCAAGTCGTTGCACATCGAGACGCTAGAGGTGTTCTAGATAACCCGGTGGCAAATAATTCGGTTCAGTTGTCTCTTATGAAAACCCCCTATCCAATAGATGGAACGGGACAAACGGGGGACGACCCTACGAATAACGTGTCACATTCGCTATACTGCATTATTATCGTCAGGATCTCGTGACATTCTATAGCGAGGACGCTTGTCAAGCAAAAAACCACATCCTTGAGCATTATAGCTGATCGTCCACCGCCGCTTTTCAGTGAACATGAGCCTGATTTTGAAGGTCAGCCGTCTATCCACGACCGGGGGAGGGGTAAGGCAGTACGAAGATTAGCTCAATGTTCATTCAAAATATTCAACCGGATGGAAGGACCGATGGACCTGGTGGAGGCTACTCGTTTGCTCACATCTAATACAAAAAGAAGCAGCATATTAACTAAGGTACTTCGAAAATTATCAGCGGTTCCAAGTACGAAAGTCTAGTCATGAAAGGATTTGTAATGACTGTCCAAGTGCGAAGGCAAACCAAAATACTTGATTCACAAAGAACTGAAATTGACTGATCAACGCAGCAGTAGTAAGTGTGGTGGAATTTTGATTCAAGTGGTTGAAATGTTCGAGAACGTAACCAGTGTTTTGCCTATGGATGGACTTATCGGTATCAGTCGTCAACAACCGATATTGACAATTAACCTGTAGAGCTGAAGCCGCATTCTTTATTCACAAGGGAAATGTATACAGAGATGTATAATCCTTGTCCCTTATCCTCTCCACATCTCTGTCGCGGATTGATTCGTTCAGTCCCATTTTCCGCGACCTGATTACTTGCTTTGAAAACTTGTGTACAAATTCAAAAAGTATTCCATTTCCCCCCTCTCTCACACACCAGGTATCAACAACCTGCTACCAAAACTGCCGTTAAATTGGAACATCACAGAATTGCTGGAGATTGTGGGCGACGCGATAAGTTTTGTACCGGACTACACGGTCACATTACAGAGCACAGTTCAATGCTTGGAAATTACGGGCGAACACTATCTGGTGGCTCGATATTTGACTGAATGCATAATGAGAGGTAGGCATATTTTCAAATACGACTTTCTCAAATTATTCTCTGGTTCATCAATCTGCAGTTGTGGGAGTGATTTTTGTCTCCACTCGTGGTTGACGGTTTGAGAGAGGTGAACACTAAACAGCTGGCTTAACTCAGAATATAGTTTTCGTTGCCGCATTGCTCTACCACACGCGACAAACGTAGTCGCCATGAAAAGTTAACGTGTTAATCACCACTGATAAGTTAGGAAAGCATCGAACAATATCNCCACTGGATACGAGGTGCTGCTGCTTCAACCGATCACGAACCTGGTGATAATCGGGTTAGTCAAACGTAGCTTTCTTCACAATAGTTTGTCAAAAGCAATTGGCAAGTAACAAACGATATACGTTTTCATAGCTTAATCAGTTCAGTAGGTATCCGTTCTTGACAGGTACAAAGACAACATTCTTTGTTTACTTTCAGTCTATTAGTTAAAAGCTGCGACCATACATGGACATATCAATCGTCGTTTTGAAGAAATGGACAAATATGTAGCATCTTACAAGGAGTAGTCAGAGAAACTAAAAGTACTATATTTGATTGTAAAAAATGCCAGCAGGAAAAGTTAGTGAACGAATTGAACAAATGGATGGAATAGAGAGAGAGAGAATAATCACATAGATAAAAAATCTAGTTGGATGCCAATAACAAAAATGATATTTACTGTGATTTTATCGCGGCGCAAACGATTCACGTGCGTTTAAATTGATCATTCTTTTTTCACAGAACCAAGTCCAGATACCAACGCCTGGTTGGGACAAAGTAACTACTTCTTAGAGGCTTGGGAAGCTCGTCACAATACAAACATTGGCACCGCCGTGAAAACCAATCATTTCCAACGAGAGCTCGTAGACCCGACAGTTCACGACGACCCATGATAACAGTGTGAAGAATGATCCGCAATGAGAAATCAGAGAACTAATCACGAAAGTGTGTATTGCTCATCGTTTGACAATATTTCGTAACTGGCTTTTCTTCATTTTCTTTATCTTCGAGGGATTCTTGAGCTGTTTAGATAAATGCATAAGAAATACGGATGACACCGTTGCTTACCGGTACCACAACTTCAGATTTGCGCTCGTTTTCTAATTTCCGTTGTCGTTTCTCTTCCTCTTTCAAGCGTTTCGCACGTTTTCGTTCGGCTCGTGATTCTTTTATTTGCTTTTCTAGCTGTCGAACACGTTTTAACTCCTTCTCAGTTTGCATGCGTTTGACAAAGGGCGAGCGAAGACCTTTGTCTTTCTTTATTGAGCTGTATCTGATGCAAAAAGAGCAAACAGCATAATCGTCTTAGGTGTGGGAAAACTAGGCGTTAACGAACGGTAAACTTAACCCGATTATCAAGCTCAGTAAACAGTAAAAAGTTGCCTTGCATTAAATCAGCTCAAGTGGAAAAAGGTCAGTGTGTAAAACGCACGTAGTCTATCTACCTTTAAGGAAGCGACGACGACGGTGGTGGTAATGGTAGTGTAGTCCATTGTACTCTACTACTCAGCGAATTATCACTTGATTGTTGGAAATTGATCAGAATGCCTCTCGTCATGGTTTTGATGAACAAAATTTTAGTGTCCAAGTGCCAAAATGACTCCTTTCAGATCACAATAAAAACGCTGAGATATAACATAATTTGGTCCATCCGGTGGCTGTTTTCGGGGAGATAAATAATCGGTTAACTGGTAAATCTATATGCTCGGAAATACNGGAAATACTAAGCAAACTGGCATCTCCGGTCTAAATTCGTCTTTTTCTTCGACAACGAGTATTGCAGTCAAATATGGCCTTTAGAATGACGGTAATGATAACATCAGTTGTGCTGATATTCGTCTAGACCTTGCAGAGATTATTGGCCAAGCGAATGACTACCATGTTAACAAAGGCCATCGCTAATCACTCGTGATTGTGAAGCAATGTATATCTATTCATAATTAAACACGTAAGTAGCTGTTACTTACAATCGGGTCAAAAATAGATCGAAGGGGTGTTTCACTTGGCCCAAAGTGGCAAGATTTAAAAGCCCATTTATTTAATGGTAGGTGCATCTGTGCAGATTCTACCAGATGAACTTATTCAGCTCACTCATTCACATGCAAACAGTCAGAGAAAAAATTAATTTCAAGCAACTGATGGATCTGAGAAAGAGGAACCAAACATATAAATGAGCTAATTAGACCGCACTATTCGGAACCTACCTGTTTTCACGAACACTTTTCCATACCCGTCCGGATTTTGGGAGACCACGAACAACATTTTCTTCTGACATGATTAGATGCAAACTGAAACAGACGACACTTATTTTATGTTAATCACTCGTCAAGGGGGAATATGTATATACATCGTACAGTGGATTACAGTGAAGTGAACATCACTTTTTATTACACATCGGTATGTGATGGACAGCAGACGGGGTGGAACCTCATCATCACTAAGATTTGCTGTTCAGTGAAGGTAACCGGCAACCTAGGCCCGGGGACTTGGAGTGGTGAACCACATTAGGCCCTGATAGATCAAGCGTGGTATTGAACCGGACAGCAAGGCTGTCCGCCACCAACGTAGGGTGGTGGTGGCGGGGCTCGAACCTCGGACCACAGGGTCCAAAGCACGCCGGTGACAGCGACTAAACCGCTGCGACAGCACCACCCCCACGATTACGAAGTGTGCAAGGTGGGTGAGAATGTGCAATAAGGACCATGATCGGTACTCTTTTGAGAGGGGGAAGTAATAGAACCCCTAAGGACAGCACACCGAGTATGCAATTTAACTGTGCATACATACCTGATCAAACCTTTCGGTTCAGTTTTAACAACCATTACTCATGCACTTTCGGTGACTGTCTCATTACTACCCACTTTAATAAAAGAGCAGGAGAAATGCTCAAGTGTCAGCGTAAAATAGAGAATTCATGTAGACCTGGGTTACAAGGACATGAAGTAGATGCACGACAGTCAGCCACATCACTAACCAACCATTGCTAACGCTGGACCTGATGTTTCCTTCCAAGAAGCCAAACACGACCCAATAGAACCCCTAAGGACAGCACACCGAGTATGCAATTTAACTGTGCATACATACCTGATCAAACCTTTCGGTTCAGTTTTAACAACCATTACTCATGCACTTTCGGTGACTGTCTCATTACTACCCACTTTAATAAAAGAGCAGGAGAAATGCTCAAGTGTCAGCGTAAAATAGAGAATTCATGTAGACCTGGGTTACAAGGACATGAAGTAGATGCACGACAGTCAGCCACATCACTAACCAACCATTGCTAACGCTGGACCTGATGTTTCCTTCCAAGAAGCCAAACACGACCCACGTGAGTGATTTCACTGGACAGTTTCCATACCTTCATGCTAAGTCTTAGTTTTGCC